TTGTGGGGGCTGGCAAGTCTAAAAACTGTAGAGTAGGCCAGCAAGCTGGAGACTCAGGGTGGAGTGAATGTTACAGTCTTGAGTCCAAAATTTTCAGGCTGGAAAGTCAGGCATAATTTTTGTGTTACAGTGTTGAGGCCAAATTGCTTCTTGCTTGGGAAAGTCTTTGCTCTTAAGGCCTTTGACTGATTAGACGAGGCCAGCCTACATTTTGGTGGATAATCTGCTTTACTCAAAGTCTACTGATTTAAGTGCTAATCACATCTAAAAAAAAATGTTTCATAGCAGCATCTAGGCTGGTGTTTGACCAAACAACTTGGGTACCATAGCATAAAATTAACCATCACACAGAGGTAGTTAGAGGTTGAGACTCAGACCTTCCCACTTCTTGATCAGTGTTGTTCCTCTGTACCACTATGCCTCTTGCTTTCTTTCTTTCCACTTGTACTCTGTTTAGTTTCCACTGTTTCACTGCCTCTGTGTTCTTGGGTGTGAAGTGGCAGATAATATAATTTTCCCACATCCCCTTTGATGTTCATTTTCAGATTTGCTTACAGACAGTTTTGAATTTACTGTGGCGCTTCTTACATTGTGTTCACTAAATATATTTAGTATTTTGTTCATCCCTAAACTCTTTAATGAGCCAGCTGCTTTTATGTAACTTTTTCAAAAATTGTTTTAAAATATATTAGGTATTTGTTCTTCCTCTAAAATTATTGTTACCTGATGGTATAAATAACAACCTTAAAATAGGTCATTCAGAAAGCGTAGGCATGAAAGAGAAATATCTGAATTCATTTTATCCTCTTTGAGACTATCCCCAAATTTTTACAGCTCTTCCATAATTTGTTTTCTCTGCCTGCAGGATTCAAAGTCTACTGTAGTAGGAAGGGACATCTAAAAAATGGCTTTTGATCATATAGTTCTATGTTAATTTAAAACATTAATTAAAATTTGAAATGGTAATGATTATTCAGATTAATTAGTTTCCTTCTGTTGTAAAGCGGGCCTCTCACTGTCGTGGCCTCTCCCATTGTGGAGCACTAGGCTCCGGATGCTCAGGCTCAGCGGCCATGGCTCATGGGCCCAGCCGCTCCCGCGGCATATGGGATCTTCCCAGACCGGGGCACGAAACTGTGTCCCCTGCATCGGCAGGCAGACTCTCAACCACTGTGCCACCAGGGAGGCCCTGTAAAGTCTTATTTAAAGTTAATGTAAGACAAGTTTCTTTTTTACCCTTTAAGCTGGTTTAAGTTTTGGGAGATAAACAAGAACCCATTTTTTTTTTAATGTTAATTAAGCTAACAATTGTAAACTAACATTTACAAGTAAATGAAATAGTAGAGCTTGTTAATGGACCAAGACCCTGGAGACCTGAATTCTGATCTTACTCCTGTTATTTATTAGTACAACTCTCATTTTCTGATATGTTACTAAGAGGCTGGACAAGAGGGTCTGAGGCCAACTCTGGCTGTAATGTCTTTGTGACTCCCATGAGGGAGGCACATGGGGAGAATTAATAAGGGACTATTTCTTAGAATAGATGAAAATAAACTGATGGCTGAAGACACAAGAGGAAGAAATTTTAGGAAGGAAAGCATGAAAAAAAGATATTCAAGTTTTACTCTAGTTGAGGTCATTTTATATTCACTTGTACACTTTTGTACATATCTCGTTTAGTTCTCTTGTATGAAGTAAGCAAGGCTGCTATTATTATTTCCATTTTGTAAGCAGAGTTTCTGAGGTCAGATGAGGTCATTCTCTTTCCTCAAATGGTACACATTTTGGACTAAAACCCATAGAATTACTGAATACTAGATTTTGAAACTCATTTGGTCCAACTCTTATCTTCTTTTCCTGTGTTTTTTCTACTATACCATCTTCTGGTTTTTGAACAGTTTTCATTGTTAGACAAACATCAAGTAATTCTTTGATGTTTTGTCTTTTTATTACTCCTTGGTTTGTGTGAGGTTATGGAATTAGAAATATATTTTAATTGCATAATTCAGATTCTACGACTTTTTAAAATTACAGATAATAGTATCTTTAGATTGGGCTTCCCTGGTGGCGCAGTGGTTGAGAGTCCGCCTGCCGATGCAGGGGACACGGGTTTGTGCCCCGGTCCGGGAAGATCCCACATGCTGTGGATCGGCTGGGCCCGTGAGCCATGGCCGCTGAGCCTGCGCGTCCGGAGCCTGTGCTCCGCAACGGGAGAGGCCACAATCGTGAGAGGCCCGCGTACCGCAAAAAAAAAAAAAAAAAAAAAGTATCTTTAGATTAACTGTTTGAGAAAAATTTTTGTTTTGCCTTTTGAAACTAGACTATAAGCATGTTTAAACTGATTAGGTCTTGAAAATGTGGAGTACTCCATGTTAATACAGAAATTTAAAAGTCCATTATTTTCATCATGGAAATAAATTTCAGAAAGTATACATCTGCCTCAAAGTAAAGCCTGTCAAATTTAGAAGTCTGTTCCCAGAGCTGTTAAACAGTCAAGAAT